GCCTCTATGGCGAGCTCCTACCCGCTGGCCCGCCTCTCATGGTGCCCAGAGCTGGGTGTCCCCGCTGGGTGACCCTGAGCTCTGGTTCCTGGCTGCCCTGCCTGTGGCCCCACTGGCCTCTGGGAAGCCCTTCTGACAACCCCGCCCACCTGCTCTGTGCTTGCAGATGACTGGCACCGACTGAGGCCCCACCCAGTGCCGGGCGACCCCCGCGCCGACTACGCTAATGCCACCTATGTGGATGTGAGTGCCTCGCGCTTCTGCTGACCTGGCCCCACCCTGAGGCTTGCTGCCCAGGCAGGGCAGAACCCCTCCAGGATACATGAGTGTTCACGTGGCTGAGCTCTGAGACTCCACCTCCTGTGTCCAGTGCAGGGCGCTCAGAAGAGGGCGGGGTAACAACCTTCTGGAAGGCTTCCTGTGGCCAGAGCTGGCCTGAGACAGGCGTGCAGGGGAGCAGAGGACGGGAATGGCGGACAGCTAGGCACGCAGGTGCGGGAGGCCCTCGGTGAGAGGCTCAGGGCGCGGGGTCCTTAGGCCGGTCTGCAAGGCCGCAGAGGTAGGCGGGGGCTGGATGGCGAAGGCCTCTGGAGGGCCAAGGAGCCGGGCTTTCCTCGGGCTCCTGGATTCCTGCAGTGCTTTGCCTGCGAGCGGAGTGGTGCTTTAAGAGTAGTGGACTTGCCGGCTGGGCCAGTCCTCCACACCCACGGTCTTGTCTATTGTGACCCCACAAGGTAGCTGGTGTCACGGCATCACGCCCTTACCCGAGCTAGGAGGGTGCTTGGAGGGTGCAGTCGCTACCCTCGTCTCTCAGCCAGCAAGTGGCAGGGAGAGCCAGACCTCAGCCCGTGACCGGGAGGCTGCCCCCGCTGCTGCAGCCGGGCCTAGCGGGGTTGGGGCGAGGAGCTGGGGACTGGGTGGGTGTGAGAAGGGGTGGCGAGTCCCCTCGTACCCAGGTGTGCGTGAGGGTGAGGAGGCCAGGGCTCGGGCCAAGTCCGGGCGTGCATGGTTTGATCACTCGGGAAATGCAGAGCAGTTCTGCCGTGCCGGGTCAGGCCGGGCCGTGCCGGGCACAGGGCACAGGGCACAGGTGTGGACGAGACAGGCAGGGCCCACTTCCTGGGCATGCACGTTCTGGTGGGGGAGACAGGTGAACAAATGCAAATGAGGCAAGTTCAGGTTAGAGGGGGACGCAGGGTCCAGAGACGAGGAAAGGATGTCTCAGTGCCAGTGTCCGGCGTGGCCGACTGCTGGGGGACAGGAGGGACGGACATGCCTGGAAGGTGTGCAGGGCGTGACTCTGGAGGGACTCCTCCTCCTGGGGTCAGATGTACTGCCCCCCACAGGCCCCAATCCCTCGCCTTCCCCTCTCCCGCATCCCGCCCCTCGGCTAGAGGAAGGGCCGGGCCCAGACTTGCACACTGAGCAGCTTTGGTGACAGGGGGCCTCTCCTTGGTCCCCTCAGGGTCCCAGCTGGCTTCTCTTGGGCCTAGCAGGGGCGCCCTCTCCTCAGGGCCAGCCCTCCGGCTCTGCTCCGCCTGCCCTGTCATGTCCCCGCCTGGCCGCCCCGGGCTCCGCCCACCCCACCCGCCTCTGGCCTAACACCTGTCTCTTTTGCTTTCTACCTCCCTCCCTGGAATCACTAAGATTCGGATAAACCGTGAAGTAAGTATCTCCTTCCCTCCTCCTCTGTCCGTCTCACTCTTGCCGTCTCTGGCTGTCTCTCTCTGTCTCTGTCCTCCCCCGCTCCTCATGCGTCCGACAGCCAGCGTCCATTTCAGCAGGCCGGCGCCAGGGGCTAAGCCTCCGCAGTGTCCCTGTCATGGGTGTCCACTGCCTGCAGCAGGAGGCTGTGCCGGGCCCCTCCCACCGCTGTCCCTCAGCCCACCGTCCGTAGCCAGAGCTGCCCTGGGTCAGTGCCCCGGAAACTCATTTCTCCAGTGTTCACATGCCTTCACAACCAGTTTGCCTGCAACTCGGCCCAACCGCTTTGCCCTAATTTGAATGTTTTTTGGGAGCAGTTTGGGTATTCGGTTTTTAAGATGGTGCCATCTTTTGGCCTTCTAAAAATAAAGAACACCCTAGTTTAGCTAATGATCTTTTGACTTTGTTTTTTGGGGAGAGAGGTTTTTGCTATAGGGTGCGTGTGCTTGCCAGAAAGACAGAGACAGAAATCCCCCCCCCAGGGGGGATGGTCACGTCGCAATCCCTTCTCCTCCATTCTCCTCTCGGGATCTTGGGCACGCATGCACATGTGCCCGGCGTGAGTTTAAGTCACCAGGTCCAGGACGCGAACCGCGGTCGACTACGTGGGAGTCCAGCGATGTAGCCATCGCGCCAGCTGCTGGTCCTTGACTTGGGTTTAATACATAACTAACTGGTGGGATCATTTACTATCGTGTCTACTTTTTCTATTTGATCTTCTTTACATCACACTTTCTTGCCTTTTATGATTGCTAAAATACTGTCCGTTATCAGACTCTCCAATGACGTGGACATAGCTAATACAGAAAGTGAAAAGGCCCCGCAGCTCACCTGCCAGAGGTGAGCCATCGTCCCAGGTGTTCCCCTTACTCTGGGCGGACTTAACGGCGAGTTGGGAAGTCTCAGGTTTCTAAGGGCTGTTAGGCTCACGTGTGTGGTGGGCCTGCGCAGCCCTGTCCTGGGGGCGAGGACGCTGGCCGTTCCGCTCCTGTGTCCCCCTGTCCTGGTTTCGCTGTCGCTGGACTCTGAAAGCACCTTGGAAGACTGAGCTTGGCACTTCTGCAGGTGCCAGGGCGCGCCTGCCGTTCCTGGGTACCTGCTCTGGGCAGGGACCTTCCACCTTCACCATACCTGCCCAGCAGGGGCCACCCTACCCACATGTGACAATGAGTAGTTCAGTGGCCTGCTCCCGGTCACACGGCTCTTAACTGTCGATCTCCCTGGAACTTGGCCCCCCACTACTCCCTTGGGGGCATCAGGGCTGTGGGGCAGCTGTTCGGTCCCCCAGCTCCACCTGGTGGGACCCCGCTGGGACTCTGACCTGGGACCTGCCGGGGCTCCTGCAGTGTGGACACTGCCCCTCATCCTTGTCTCCAAAGGGGGCATGAGAAGTGACCTAGTTACTCCCTTAAATCCGACCTTCCTGAGCGTTGGCGTGTGCCCTCACGTGACGCAGTGTGCAGCTGGGCGTGTGTGTATTCCGTCCGTACACGGAGGTGGAGGGCTGTCTGCTTACGCACTGCTGGTAGCCAGGTGGTGACGAGGTTGTGACCGCTGTCTGTCCGCTCTCTGGAAGGCCACCTCCAGGTGGCAAAAGACCAGGATGCCGAGCGAGACAGGAACTCTGGTAACAGTTGAGTTTAGACCACCGGTTGCTGGGCACATCGATCCATTTTCATCGATTCTGCCCCTCTGCTCCTCACTGGCGTTTGAGAGCTGGCACTGGGTGGGTGGGAGCTGCTCTGCGTGGGGCCCCGGGGCAGCCTAAGCAGGAGGGGCAACCTGCTCCCACTCTGCCTGGTGCTGCATCGGGAGCAGCACACCAATGTGGCTTCGGGCCCTCCGCCCCGCCCCCCACTGACCCCAGCAGGGCCTGGAGCCATGGAGGGCATGGGTGACCGCAGGAGGGAATCAGGTCAGCCTGGCGGGTGCCCCGCGGTGTGGGCTGAGGGCTCTAGGAGGCTTTTCATTGCTGGGAACGAGAGGGTGGCGGTCATCTTCGCAGACACTAGGTCGGCGAGCAACGGAACCTCTGCACTGACCTTGCCCCGGCCGGGCATGGCGGGGGACACAGAGGCCCTCGGAGCCCAGGCCCGGCTGCTGGGCGTCCTCAGGACTGGCTGAAAGTTTAACGCCAGTCCCACCTTCCAGGCTCTGAGCCAGAATCTGCCTTTTAACAAACACCCTGGCGAAGCCCCTGTCACCGCTCTGAGTCAGCTGCTTCCTGGCTGAGCCGGGACAGGGGCCCACGTCTGTTTGGTGCTAGGAGCCGGGTTCTCAAGCCCTGGAGTAAATGGCCTTCCCCTCGGCCGTTCCTTGTCCGCGTGGCCCATTGTCGGCACAGTAACAGCCCTGTCCCTGCCACGGTGGCCACTGACCAGGCTACTAGGTGCTGACCTTATGCTGGGCACAAGGCCAGCCCCTGATCGCCACTGGCTGGGACTCCCCTCGGCCCTACACCCACTTCACAGACGCGGAAGTCGAAAGTGGAGGCATGGAGAAGTGGGATTTTGCCTGAGGGTGTGCAGCTGTCAAGAAACAGACCGGCCTGGGAACCAGCAGTTAGCGTAATGGCTATGTCGCTGGACTCCCACGTAGTCGACCACGGTTCGAGTCCTGGACCCCGTGACTTAAATCTCACACTGGGCGCGTGTGCGTGCATTCCCAAGATCCCGAGAGGAGAATGGAGGAGAAGGGATTGCGGCGTGGCCATCCCCCCTGGGGGGTGATTTCTCACTTTCTATCTCTCTGTCTGTCTGGCGAGTGCACGTGCCCTATTGCAAAAACCTCTCCAAAAAAAAAAAAAAGAGAGAGAGAGATAGACCTGCCTGAGCTCTGACTGGCTAGCTCCAGGGTTCCTTGGGCTGGGACAGGGGACAAGGAGAGTGGCAGGTGGCTCTCAGGTCCCCTCCTGCCCCAGCCCCACACTGCTGCCGGGACGTCTGCCCAGGATCTGTGGGCTCTGGGCCTCAGGAGACAGGGCCCTGGGGAGCGAGCGGGGCTGCAGCAGCCCGGTCTCTGGTGGGCATGGGCACAGGGCGCTCTGCACAGATCATGCCCACGCAGGGTCCCAGGAAGTGCTCAGTGATGTCAGCGATTCCGAACGTTGACCGAGGCCATCGCAAACCCTGTGCTCAGTCCCCTGCCCGAGCATCCCCCTCCGGCTCTGATGAGAGAGGCTGGGGTGCCGTCCCTCCTGCCCGCCCTGCCCCAGGTGGGCCCGGGGAGCTGGCACACACCACGCCGGCTCCCCCACAGCTGGGTCTGCAGCTTAGGACCCTGGGGACAGGGCAGTCCTGAACTTCTGGGCTGTGAGCCAGGAGACCTTCCAGGCCCATGGAGTCGGCTCCTCCTTGGGCCCGCTGCCTCGGTCACCTGGGGCCAGGGAGAGGGCGGGGCAGTGGCCTGGTGGGCAGGGGCGCCGCTTCTGGGAGAGCAGCTGGGGTGCCCATGCTCACAGCACGCCGTCCTGTTGCAGGGCTATCACAGGTGCAACCACTTCATAGCTGCCCAAGGTACCAGCCTCGCCCGCCCTGAGGGCCCCGCCTGCCGCCCTGGCTGCCCCTCTGCCTGGCCCGTTCCTTGGCAGGGTCTCGGAATCTGCGATCGGCCTTTATCCCTCCTCATCCGTGTCTTCCCGCCACTAGTCCATCTGTGGCTCCCTGTCCGTCCGTCCGTCCGTCCCGGGGCCCTGCGTGTGAGAGTGCCCCTCAGTCTGGTGGTCACCTGGGTCCACCTGGCCGCGACTCCCTGAAGACCTGCCCCTGGGCCAAGGGCCTGGCTCTGCTGCCCGGGCCCCCTGCTGGGCCCTCTCCTGACCCCAGGGCTCTGTAGGCTGGAGCTGGATGGGGTGGGATGTGGGGGCGTGAAGCCCCCACCGACTCTGGGGACCTGGCCGGGGTGGCAGTGCCTGGAGGAGCACTTGCGGGCGGGGACCTGGCTCGGGACAGCGCCCTGTGCCCGCAGGGCCGAAGCCCGAGCTGACCTACGACTTCTGGCGCATGGTGTGGCAGGAGCGCTGTGCCACCATCATCATGATCTCCCGGCTGGTGGACGTGGGCCGGGTAAGCGCACGGCCTGGGCGCGGCCCTGGGTGCAGTGGGGGGCAGGCGGCCCGCTGAGCCCTGCCCTGGGGGGCCCGCAGGTGAAGTGCGTGCGGTACTGGCCAGAAGACTCGGACACGTACGGTGACATCGGGGTCACACTGGCCAAGACGGAGACCCTGGCCGACTACGTCGTGCGCACCTTTGCCCTGGAGCGGGTGAGTCTTGGCACCCTGCAGTGGGTGCCCGAGAGGTGGGCAGAGCCCGGCCCAGTCGGAGCAGGAAATGCCACTGCCCCCCTCTGCAAGGGACCTGCTCGGTAACCCCTCGCTGGAATCACCGCGGGCGGCCGGGCTGGTGGCTATGCCTGCAGGTGACCCCGGGACGCAGATGAGGGTGAGGACGCAGGAGCTGCTAGTGCTGGTCTGCTCTGGGCTGTGCTTTGTGCCCCAGAACATGCGGTGGGGCCAGGAGTTTTCCACAGCTCCACCCTACAGACGGGAAGCGAGCCGGGCGGTGACCTTGCTCCCTGGAACGTGTGTGACAGTCAGCCGGTCTGCTCTGTGGAGCCTCCAGAGGACTGTCTCCCACTGCCATGGCCCAGAGCCGGGATGCCTTCCGTGGCTACACCGCAGCTGGGCGGTGGGGTGGCGTGGGACCCTGTCCAGCCCTCACGCTGCCCGCCTGCCCAGACAGCGTGGTCTCCCGAGGGGCCTCAATCTTCTCGTTTGTATGGGGGACACGCATGCCAGCCTCATGGCCAAGTGCCCGGCACATAGCAGGTGGGACAGGTGCCGCTGGTGACCGACCTTCTACTCTCGTCTCCCAGAGAGGCTACTCCGCCCGGCATGAGGTCTGCCAGTTCCACTTCACAGCATGGCCAGAGCACGGCGTCCCCTACCATGCCACGGGGCTGCTGGCCTTCGTCCGGCGCGTGAAGGCCTCTACGCCGCCTGACGCGGGGCCCATTGTCATCCACGGCAGGTGGGACTTCTGAGGAGCTGTGGCGAGCAGGCAGTCGGGCTGGCGCGGGCGGAGCCCTCAAGGGCGCTGGATGGACTCGCCCCGCTTGGAGACGGGGGGGGGGGGGTGGCCCCCAGAGGCTCTTTGCACTTTGGCTCTGAGTCGACACCTGTGTCCCTGCCCTGGAGGCATGGAGGGCCAGCCGGGGCAGGTGCGCCGGGCACAGTGCAGCCGCCCTCATCGGCGGTGCTCGGGCACACTGCTGCGTGCCAGATTTGCTCCGGGCTGGGGACTCGCCCCTTCCTTTCCAGACCCACACCTTGCTTGGCCCTTGATTTTCATACCCCGATTGGCCCCCGTGGCCCCAGCTCCCCTTCCTGCTCCGCTCTACTCCCCCGCCCACATCTTCCTCAGCCTTGCCGTTGGGGCCTCGTGTCCTCCCTGGCCCTGCTCCTGCTCCCTCCGGAAACTCGACTTCTTAACCCCTTGCACCTGTGGCTCTGACCGGTCCTCTGATCCTGGCTCCCCAACTGGGTGCTTACCAGTCTCCGGGGGCTGCATGGCAGACTCAGCGCCCCCGCCCTGCCACCCAAACCAGCTTGTCTCATTTCCTTAGGCTTTGAAGGGACTTTAGTGACTATAACAGCCTGAGGAACAACTAGTGAGTGTGTGATGGAATAAGTGTACTGAAGTTGACTTCTCACGAACACCAGGTCTGCTCAGAGTGAGAAACCAAGCAGTCCCAGCCGCTGGAGGCCCCGGCCCGTCCGTGCCCTTGCCCCAGGGCGGCCACTGCCCTGCCTTCTGAGCTGGGGAGAGCTTTGCCTGTTCTTGGACTTCGTGTCTGGAAGCACGAGCATGTGCTTTCTTCTTTCTCTTTTTAAAAAGTTTTTGCCAGAGAGCATGCGCACTCGTCAGACGGACAGAGCGGGGAGGGAGTAAAGAGGCACCCCCCGGCCGTGGCCACACTGCAGTCCCTTCTCCGCCCCTACCCATCGGGGTTTTGTGCACCCTCGCACACGTGCCTGGCCGCTGGGTCTGGGCAGCCGTGTAGTCGGCCATGTGAGACCCAGCCACCCTGGCTGCAAGGCCACAGACTGGACCGCATGAGCTTTTGATGTCTGACTTCTCTTCCTCCACCTCGTGGTTGTGAGGTTCGTCCATACTGTGCCACGGCCCTCCGGGGAGCCCCCACGGGCGTGCGTCTGTCTTGCTGTGGCCTCTTGGTTTGGCACGAGAGGCCCTTGCTGGTAGGGTGTCCTGTCCGGCCAGGAGCTCGGCGTCTTTCTGGGGCCCGCGTGGTGGAGGGGAGCTGCTGTCTGCAGACTCCAGCTGCAGCGGCTGCTGCCAGGCCGTTCCCGGGGTGTCGGGCCCGAGGCCCCCGAGCACCGCGTGCAGGGTCTGCCAGGCCGTTCCCGGGGTGTCGGGCGGAGGCCCCCGAGCACCGCGTGCAGGGTCTGCAGCTGCTGCACGTCCATGCTGCCCTTCTCTCCCTTCTTTCCTCGCTCGCTCTTTCTTTCAGAGGTCTTTGCTATAGAGCACCACAGAGAAAGAGTCAGACGTCTCCCCTGGGGGGTGGCCACGCCGCGATCCCTTCTCCATTCTCCTTTCAGGATCTTGGGCACGCGTGCACATGCGCATGGCGTGTTTTAAGCCACCAGGTTCAGGACTTGAACCTCAGTCGGCCATGTGGGTGTCCAGTGTCTTAACCACTCCACCATGTTGCGGCCCCCATACCGCCATCTTAAACCTGCGGTCTTGGTCGACCTGGTCTTCTCTCCCTCCCGCTCAGCCCTGCTGAGGCGGGTGCTGAGCCTGCGGTCTGGGATGAGTCCAGCACACCTGGTCTCCAGCTCCTCGTCGGGCAGGAGAGCTGCGGGTGGTGGCCAGGGAGCAGGGGTGTTTCAGTGAAAGCCCACTGAGCCACCGACGTCTCCTGGAAGGGCTGGGGGTGCCAGTGATCACACAAACGGGTCTCAGTGTGTGGGGTTTTGAGGGATGTGCAGGAGGTTCGCAGAAGGAAGGCACATTCTTGGATTGTGCTCAGAGCACCTTCCGCACCACCAGGCTGGGCCGGCTGCCCCTCTGTTCCCTTCCCCTTCTCTTTTCCCCCGTTGGTGAGGCCCGTCCCCAGCTCTGTCCCATCACATCCTGAGCCTGCGCCCCGGCTCCTTGCAGGAGTGGGGCCATCACCGTGCCCTGTCCCTTGTTTGCTGTGGACATGGCCAGCACCCCAGCCCCTCTGAGCGCTGTCTCTGCAGTGTGGGCTCCCCGGGCTCTGACGTGGCCGGGCGCTGTCTCCACAGCGTGGGCACCCCGGGCTCTGACGTGGCTGGGTGCCGTCTACACAGCAGGGGCTCTGACGTGGCCGGGGCTCTGACGTGGCCGGGCGCTGTCTCCACAGCACGGGCTCCCCGGGCAGCGGCCCCGCCGGGTGCTACATCGTCCTGGACGTGATGCTGGACATGGCGGAGTGCGAAGGCGTCGTGGACGTCTACAACTGCGTGAAGACCCTCTGCTCCCGGCGCGTGAACATGATCCAGACCGAGGTGTGGGGACGCAGCCCGCCCCGCCGCCCGGGCCTGGGCCTGGGGAAGGAGCACAGAGCGCATGGCCCTCCCTTCCTCGGAGTCACCCTGAACGGGGCCAGACGAATGCCCGCCTGGGCCTTGAACCTGCTCGGCCCACCCCGAGCTCAGCCTGGTCACCTCCTCGGCCTCATGTTCTGTCACAGGAGCAGTACGTCTTCATCCACGATGCAATTCTGGAGGCCTGCCTGTGTGGGGAAACCACCATCCCTGTCAGCGAGTTCAAGGCTACCTACAAGGAAATGATCCGCATCGACCCCCAGAGTAATTCCTCGCAGCTGCGGGAGGAGTTCCAGGTGATGGGGCCAGGGTATAGGCTGGTGCGGGTGTGACAGCGCTGGCCGTCCTGGAGGGACCAGTCTGAGGCCACAGCTGGAGAGACTGAGCTGGGCTCCCGAGAAGAGCTCAGAGACTGCGGAGGGGCCTGCAGAGGCCTCCGCGTCAGGCAGAGCGGGGTGCAGCTGTGAGCCGCAAGTGCGGAAGGCCACGTCACTCCCGGCCTGAGGCTGGCCCCAGGAGGAAGGGCGGGTGACCTCCTCACACGTGTGCTCACTCAGTTGTCAGTGACGAAACTCGGCTGTGTGGCCTTGTGAGGGGAAGTCGGGATGGATCCAGGGACCCCACCGATGCCGTCCCTCGGCCCTGTCCACTCTTGGCTCTGCTCCCATTCGTTTCTGGCCTGGTTCTCTGGCTGGGCCCCGGTGGCTTCAGGCTCACGTGGTCTCTGCCGTGAGGAGACTGGGATTGGGTGGTCCCTGCTCCCAGCAGCCCCGGCGGAAGTCCCCACCTGTGTGGACCACCGAGTGGCCCAGCAGTGGCCACCTGCCCGGGCCTGGTGCTGGGCAGAGATGCCCGGCGGAGCGGCTGGTTCCCCCGGGCCCGAGCACCCCCGCTCGGGTGCTGTGAGGGAGCAGCAGGCGGCGCGGGCCCGTACCTGTGCTCGAGAGCGGGCACGCGGGGCCCCGCAGGGATGCTGCCTGTGGCGCCCGGTGAAGGTGCCGGCTTTGGGGCCATGATAGACTGAGGTCCCGCGAGGGAGCCCTCGTGAGTCTGGCTGTGCGAGGTGTGAAGCAGCGGGTGCCCAGCGAGCCTGGGGACACTTAGTGCCCGGGGCCCCGCAGTGGCATCTGTTGGACAGGGCCGGCGCCTGAGTGCACTGTGTGGACGTGGGCCTCAGGGCTCTCGGGCTCCCTGAAAGCGTTGCTCTGCCAGGAGAGAGCCCCTGCACCTGTGGCGGGGCGCCGTTCCCCTGGATCTGCAAGCGTCCCCATGACCCTCCCGCAGGCCCTCGGACGGGCGTGCTGTCCGCTT